GGCCGCGGTGTCCCGCCCGAGACAGAGGCCGGGCACTTTGTGCACATCCTGGAGCCGTACGTCGAGAAGCATGGTATGACCTTTGACGAGTTCGTCGACGCATACAACAACGGTCGCGTGTCTGAGCCCGAGCTCGACGAGTACTTCATGCACGACCGAGCGGTGCGCGAGTCCGGGCACGACACGACGTACCGGTTCGAGGGCGTGTGCGCCAACCTGGCGACCATCGACCTCAACTCGCTGCTGTTCAAGTACGAGACTGACATCTCGCGCACGATCCGCAATGTCTTTGGCGACAAGCTGGTGGTCCCCGCCGAGTACTGCACCGGCAGCATGCAGCCGGGCCACATCGAGACGTCAGCCATCTGGGACCGCCGCGCCAAGCGCCGCAAGCTGGCCATTGACAAGTACCTCTGGAACGAGACCGAGGGCATGTACTTTGACTACGACACGGCCAAGCGCGAGCAGTGCACCTACGAGAGCGCCACCACCTTCTGGGCCCTCTGGGCGGGCGTTAGCAGCCCCAAGCAGGCGGCCGCTATGGTGACCAAGGCGCTGCCGCGGTTCGAGGCGTTTGGTGGCCTGCTCTCGGGCACCAAGGAGAGCCGTGGCGAGATTGGCATTGAACGCCCTAACCGCCAATGGGATTATCCCTATGGCTGGGCGCCACAGCAGATGCTCGCGTGGACCGGGCTGTACCGCTACAGCTTCACTGAGGAGGCGGAGCGCCTGGCCTACAAGTGGCTGTTCATGATCACCAAAGCGTTTGTTGACTTCAACGGCGTCGTGGTCGAGAAGTATGATGTCACGCGGCCGATTGATCCGCACCGCGTCGATGCCGAGTATGGCAACCAGGGCCTGGATTTCAAGGGTGTTGCAAAGGAGGGGTGAGTTCTTTTTTCTTTCTGTCAACAAGTGATTTGAAGAACAATGACTGACACATGGTGATGATAGTTTTGGCTGGGTCAACGCCAGCTACATCTACGGCCTGCAGATTGTTAACGCTCATATGCGCCGTGCGCTCGGCACGCTGACTCCCTATGAGACGTTCATCAAGGCGGTCGAGGAGAACCGGGCCAAGGCTCTTGCTGAGCTGGTCTAAGAGTTCTCTCTCTGTTCTTTCCGCCTCGTTTCTTCTTTCTGTCTGTTTTCTTTTGTTATCATGGGCATGTCACCCCAGGCTGGGTTTGTTTGAGCCAGGGCTGGGTTACGTTTTGTAAGGATTATTTCACGGATTTCTCATGGGTTGGGCCGGTTGGTGGTGATGACGATTGGTGGTGGTGATGGTTGGAGGTGATGATGGTTGGCGGTCACGATAGCTGGTGGTGATGGTGGTTGGAGGTGATGATGGCTGATGGTTGGAGATACACTTGCAACAGGGTAGATTGCTGCATCTTGGGAAGTTCTGCTGGCTGGGTGGTGGATATGTGAGAGAGCAGCAAGCAAGGAGGGACTGGATTTGCTTGGGGCAGGATGCCATTGGTGCTTGTTGGGGGAGAGGGGTAAGAGAAAACATAGCATGGCAGGCGTTGCTGCGAGGGCTGGGTCTGGATGATGGGTTGTTGGGCGGATGGACGTTGACATGGACATGGACATGGATGGAGGCCAATGGCCGATGGCAGGCAGTACTTCCTCGCGTATGATCCGGGGTGTAGGTAGTTATGTAATGCATTCATGAAAGATGTTGGGTGTTACGTGATGGATGAGATGTGAGGTGATTGCGTTTGTAACCTTTTGAGCACTCAAGGTGGGTTCGTTGCTAGTTTTATTACTCGGAGAGATAAGATAAGGTGCGTTAACTTTGCCCTGGCAACATCAGTGATTGCTTTGTTTGCCCACTCCTCTAGACTGCCACAACAGAATAAGGTTCGGCAGTGGCACGCGGAGTGATGTCGTAAAACGAGGCTCGCTGTGTTCCGGAAAGTGCAGAGTCACGCACAGAAAAGACCCGGCAATCACAGAATCTGGGGTCTCGGCAACCGCTGGAATGGCAGCCAATGGATAGACACGGATAAACCTCCAATCCAATTGACCCCTCGGTGCCCCGCACCTCGTGCCCTGCAGAGCCACTGCCCCTCCAGAAAATTTTCCCCGCCATTGGCATCCACCGCCCATGGGCCAGCACGGATCCGTGGATACATATGGAGAGCCGTCGCCGCCCGTCTCTGAACAGAAAACAACTCTTAAAAATGGACTCAAGCACGGGTTCCTATAGTGCTCACCACCGCCTTCTGTCTTTGGTTCTGCTGCCAGACGGGTGATACGCTTTGATTTGTGGGATTAGCTTCAACTTCTTCCCCTTTTGATCTCTTGCCACGCGCACACGACCGTGCCTATTCCTGGACGCGCCCTGAGCAAGCACCGACTTCGGCTTTGCACTCCACCCTGGCCTTGGACCCTGTGAATCGCCTACCTACCGACACCCCGACTAGACAAGTACCGCGTCTTGGAGCTTAAGAGCGGTGAATTGTTTGTTGACACAGAGTATTTGTCTCATAAATCTACAGTCTCTGGTTCTGTAACTTCTTCCGATCCCCAGCACCCTTCTCCAACCGGCAACATGTGCGGCATTCTCGGCCTCATCCTGGCCGACTCGACCAGCACCGAGGCGGCTGTCGACCTGCACGAGAGTCTCTACTACCTCCAGCATCGTGGACAGGATGCTTGCGGTATCGCCACCTGCGCGACTGGTGGCAGGATATTCCAGTGCAAGGGCAATGGCATGGCTTCCAAGGTGTTCGAGGATGGCAAGAGGGTCGTCGACCTGCCGGGATACATGGGCATCGCCCACCTGCGGTATCCGACTGCGGGCACGAGCTCGGTATGTTCAATCCAAGGGTATGCGTGTATGAGTTGAGACTGATGAGAGTCCTCCAGAGCGCCGAGAGCCAGCCGTTCTACGTCAACTCGCCCTACGGCATCTGCTTCGCCCACAACGGCAACCTGATCAACGCTCCCGAGCTGCGCAACTTCCTCGACAAGGAGGCCCACCGCCATGTCAACACCGACTCGGACAGCGAGCTGATGCTCAACGTTTTTGCTAATGCACTGAACGAGACCGGCAAGGCCCGTGTCAATACCGAGGACATCTTCAGCTCGCTCGCTCAAACATACCAGCGGTGCCAGGGCGCCTGGGCCGCCACCGCCATGGTCGCCGGCTTCGGCATCCTCGCCTTCCGCGACTCGTACGGCATCCGTCCGCTCGTCATGGGCAGCCGGCCCTCGACCACCATCGAGGGCGGCACCGACTACATGCTGGCCTCGGAGTCTATTGCCCTCCGCCAGCTGGGATTCCGTGACTTCCGCGACATCCAGCCCGGCGAGGCCGTCTTCATCCAGAAGGGCGGCAAGCCCCAGTTCCACCAGGTCGCCCCCGCCCAGGGCTACTCGCCCGACATCTTCGAGTACGTCTACTTTTGCGCGCCCCGACACCATCATGGACGGCATCTCGGTCAACACCAGCCGCCAAAACATGGGCGCCAAGCTAGCCGACAAGCTGCGCGAGGTGCTTGGCGAAGAGGGCATCAAGGAGATTGACGTTATCATCCCGGTCCCGGAGACGAGCAACACCGCCGCGGCCGTCGTGTCGGAGCGCCTCGGCAAGCCTTTTTCGAATGGCTTCATCAAGAACCGCTACGTTTACCGCACTTTCATTCTGCCCGGCCAGAAGGCGCGCCAGAAGAGCGTCCGCCGCAAGCTGAGCGCCATGGAATCCGAGTTTGCCGGGCGGGTTGTCTGCTTGGTTGACGACTCCATCGTGCGCGGCACCACCAGCAGGGAGATTGTCAGCATGGCGCGCGAGGCCGGCGCCCGCAAGGTCCTGTTTGCGAGCTGCGCGCCGCCTATCATCTATCCCCATATCGTGAGCCCTCCCCTCCACCAAACCCTATCCCGTGCCCCATTCCACTAACCCCAACCCCCGCAGTACGGCATCGATCTCGCCACCCCGCAAGAACTCATCGCGCACGAGAAAACCCGCCAGGACATCGCGCGCCACATCAACGCCGACGACGTCATCTATCAGGATCTGGACGACCTCAAGGCCGCCTGTATGGAGGTGACGCACCGCACCAACGTCAAGGACTTTGAGGTCGGCGTCTTCTGCGGCAAGTACAAGACCGAGGTGCCCGCGGGCTACTTTGAGCACCTCAACGAGATCCGCGGCAAGAAGCGCAAGATGGCTGAGGGCCAGGGGCTTGTGGGGAATGGTGGGCCGGTGAATATTGCGAAGAGGACGCTTACTGGGGATGGGGTTGCCGCTGTTGCGGGTAGGGAGGAGGAGAAGCGTGAGACGGGTGAGGAGAAGGCGGCGGTGGATAAGAATGCGGGGATGCTGAATCCGGGGAATAGGCAGGATATCAGGTATGTTTGAGTCCGGTCTCTCTGCTTGATGAATAGTGTATACTGACGGTTGAGCAGCATCCACAACATTGCGAACGAGCCTACTCCTCAGTAAGGGCGAGTTTGCCGTGTTATGGCGTGTTTCGATTCTGGACAGAGGGTGCAAAAAGCCTGCACTCTGGGCATGTAGACAGATAGACGGATGGGTTCTTGATATTGCTTATGTTGTTCGTTGCTGTAGAGCATGTCTGATGCGTTGGGCGGATGTTTGCTTCGATTTGCATCAGGGGCCTCTTCAATGAGAGCCCGTACTTCAGAAATGGATGTAGAAAAAATGTAGTTAATGACATGTCTCACGAACTCTTGCTTCCCTGTGTTTGTTGAGTGCAATAACAATGTCGTTGAAGCACCACCAAATGTTGATTGAGACGGAAGCTGGTCCATGTGTTCTGGTACTGTGTATTGAAGTGGAGAATGAACCCAAAAACAGAATCTGGATATGCACGAAGACAATGAGAAGGACAAAATGTATCAACAAAGACAAAGAACACAAGCGAAAAAGAAAGAAAAAAGAAGAAGAGAGGAAGAGGATACAGGAGAAATGAGACAAGAAAGAACAAAAGAGAAAAAGATATCGAATTAATCGTCGACGGGAATTGAGCCCGACGTGGGGGTCGAACCCACAACCTTGAGATGCCATACGGAGAACTCCTTAAGAGTCTCACGCTCTACCGATTGAGCTAGCCGGGCAGGCTAATTCAGATGCGTTGTGTTCCCAATTCGGAAGGTGCATTGAACAGTAGAGGGGGGAAAGTGCAATCCGATGGGAATAAGCAGACACCTTCTGCTTAGAGACTTTTTTGTCTCATGCTTTTCTTTTTTTCCCTCCCCCTTTTTTTCCCTCCCCTTTTTTTTTCTCCCCCTTTTTTTTTCTTGGCGCGAGTGATCAAGGGATTGGATTTAATGTCTCTTCCTTTGAGTTTTAAGTGCAAGCGTTTGAGAAGTTCTGTGACCAAACCTTCCGCAGAGGCACTTTCTTTCCCTTTGACCTCTCTAGGCTGTTACAATGCAGCAAGAGCGACATGCGTGACGCGTCATGCTGCCAACCCCTTTCCAGTGTTCATGTGACAGAGGTCTTGAGCGAACAAACATAGAATGGTGAGACTGCCTACCCGGCAGGTCGTAGGCGCTGTGTTTTGGAGGTTTCTCAAACAACTTCATGGGATTGGTGATGTTTTGGTAGAAGACTGAGTCGTTTGAAACTGAGATTGTTCTCATCACCGAATTGACATACGAGGCAAAATGCCTCAACGCTTTGCCGAGTCGCCCTGTTTGCTCTTCCGGAGTGGAGGTTCTAATTGAGCGGACTCAACGGCCAGTGCCTCATTCCTCTGGTGCCGGTTCCGGACCCGAACCTTTTGAGTCTTCAACAGCCACTTGCTGTCAAATGAAACCAATTCTCGCCAGGGAGGGTTCCGAGTCCCTCGACGTGGCCCGGGCTGTCGCACACTTGCATTTTAACACACCTGTTATGGTGGCATGCACCTCTCTCAAACACACAACCCAGCCAAGTCCCTAAAGGATAACAGAGCTGAAGGTGGTGAGCCGTCTCTCAAGCCATTGCTGCGGGAGGATGCAGGGCACAAGCATAGTTAACATTGTTGGGTGCAGTGCCTCAGAGCTTGTCATAAGAAATTGAAGCAATGAGCTCGAAGGGCAATCTGAACTGGGATGTCAGACTAATTCTATGGTGACAGGAAAAAGAAGAGTGCAAAAAGATGGTGATGAAAAAAGAAACCATTTTCTATGGACATACCGCGGATTGAACGCGGGACCGTCTGTATCTGCGGTGCCGCTGAGGCTTTGCAAAACAGAAATCATACCACTAGACCATATGCCCTTAGGACTCTGTGCTTCACAGAAGCATGCTGGCTACTGATGTGCTGCTGCGCCGCTGAGCCAAACTCAGTGACCCACCAATTTTCCTTCCTGTGGAACCACACCACATCTCCATTTTCCTCCCACACACAAAGTTGAGAACAAAAACTCTTTCCCTGACCTCGAGCAGCAACGGCAATCCCTGTCGGAACCACATTCGATCTCAATCGGGTATGGTGTAGCGGTAACATCGTTGACTCTCACTTCTCAGAAGTGACCGTTCTCTCAACAGCCCCGGGTTCGACTCCCGGTATCCGAGTTAGATGTCCAGGGTTGCCTTCATTTTTTGCTTCTTTTTGGCCCAGGTTTTGTTGAAGCTGGTGGTACCGACGCGCTTGCTGTCTCGGGAACGTTGTTTATTCGAATGTTAGTTAATGTAGTTAGGGCATGCTGGCGAAAGACAGTTGTCAAATCTCTTGGTTGAAACCACGAGTCTGTGGACAAGCAATCAGAGATCCGCCGATGAAGACACGCATGGTTCATGTTCCCAATGTCGTCGCGATTACTTGCGGCTGATTTGCTTTCTTCCTTGCTTCTTGTCTTCCCTCTGTTCCTCAATGTTTACCTCAAACCCCCTCTCTTCTCCTTGTTTTGTCTACAGCAATAGGTCCAACGGTGACAGGAAAAGCGTGGCAGTAACGGAAAGTGATTTCTTCAAGGCCCCGAGAATGGGGCGGAAATGTTGTTAGGCATCCCTTCCTTAGTAAATGTCATGAGCATATGTCTCGCGTCAGCCACAGACAATATTGGATGTGGGCAAACGCAATGTCTTGGTTTTCGCGAATTGGAGAATTGAAGAAAAAGAAGAAAGAAAAGAAGAAAAAAAAGGAAAAAGAGGAAAGAAAAAAAAAAGGAAAAAAAGAAAGAAGAAAGGAATTAAAAAAAGCAAGGAGGAAAGAGGAAAACAAGGAAGAAAGAATGAAGGAAGAGAAAGAAAAAAGGCATCGCCGTCAACGGCATGGTATACTCAGGTGGCGGCACGCCCCCATCTCGGGTATTAAGATTTTGTTCCGGCTATGCCGCGGGGACAGCTACCAATACACCAGTATACCATGTCTACACCATTTGCCTCAACCCTAACCATGGTAACGCGGTCAGGTCAACGAAAGCCGTGGCGCTTTTGCGACGTGACGTTGCGCTCTTTTTGCTTTCGGATCCGGGCGTCATGACGTTTCAGATGCTAGGGAAGCAGTTTAGCAAGATGTGAACCTGAAGCCCGCCGCCGCCGCCGCGTCTTCTGCTGTGCGTAAGGTATGTATGTTCTTGGTAGAATTTTCTTGTCCATTCTTATTCTCCATCTCATCGTTGCTGTTTTCAATTTGTCTTGTCATGGTTTGATACCCACGTTTCGCAATTTCATTTTTTTCCTAGAGCATGGCTGTGACATTCCGTCTATTGTTTCGTCTGCTGTTCCAGAGACAGACCTTAACCATATTGGTTTCTTGTTGTCGTGTAACCAGTATTACCGCTTCAAGGCCCTCCTTGATAAATACAACAGCTGGGTATCGTGAGTAGTATAGCAATAACTAGATCAAGTTGCTTTGCCGGCGGCTCATGACAACCAGTATTACGTTACGGAGCCGGTCTCATGACATCCAACACGGTTTCCCAACCTCCGCTGCCCTCCTTTTACATGATGTATTCCCATTGTTCTGAATCAGATGCCAAAACGCCTTTACCATGCCCTCATACGCCGGATGCTTCGAAAAGTCTTCAAACCACAACCCTCCTGCCCCCTCCCCAGGAAACTCATCCGTGATCGAATTGAGCGGGTCCCAAAAACCCCCCAGCGTGATCCCAACACACTGCTTCACACTCACGCACGCCATCACCACATTCTGATATGCCTCCCTCTGCCACCTTAACCTCATCTCATCCACCGGCAACTCAACCCTCACATTCACCCCCGTAAACGCCACCTCCCCACCAACTCCGCGTAACCCTACTCACCTCCCCAACTCCTCCACCCCAGGATAATCCCCGCCTTCAACCCCCCATTCCCACCCCATCAACCTCACCCTCCCCTTAACATCCTCACCAACCTCCTCACCCTTCCCCTTCTTCCCAACCCTCTCAATCCCCAATCCTCATAATACAACCTCGCCCTCGTATCCACTTCCCCGCCACCCGAAACGCAACCACGATATATTCCTCCCCGAGCACCTCGTACAACACATTTGGGCGATACTCCCCCTCCTCGTTCAGCGCCCCGCTGACTACGTCCCACGCACGGCACCGGCCGCGGTAATACCCCACGACGGTCCGCACGTGGCGTGTTAGCGCTTCGGTCAACGCTTCGGATGTCCAGTTTGCTCCTGGGTCTGATAACCATGCTGGGAAATGCTGCGGTGAGACGAGCGCGTGGCAGTGGAGGAGCTTGCCCGTGCGCGAGGCGAGGTCGGCGGTGGCGTCGCTGGCGGTGAAGTTGAAGACGCGGGGAGAGGGTTCGGTGGAGAGCCAGTGCTGGCTGTGGAGGGGGTTGTTTGGCCAAATTCGGTGGGGTTGGAGAGGATGGCGGTGTAGTGGGGGATGGGGATGGAGGGGTCAGTGGTGGCGCCGAAGTAGAGGAGGCCGGCTTGTTGGGCGAGGTGGTGGAGTTGGGCAGTTGTTGGGGAGGGGAGGAGGAGGGTTGTTGCTAAGAGAGGGGTTGAGAACCGCATCGTGGTGGTGGTGGTGGTGGTTTGGGCTCTTGGAGAGGGATGCAGTTGGGGTAGACTGGGGGTGTTGGGGTTGGTTACAGGGAAGGAATGGTCGATGGGAATCTGAATGGAGTGGATCTGATTATGCCATCATCTCCGCACAATCCCAATACAAGGGATGTTGGGCCCGGGAGGAGCCCGACGAACATTCCATGTTCGTGTTGTTGGAACTTATGTGCCCCAGAAACGCGAGTCCACTAGAGCGACTGCAGCTCCAGTAGAGCAACTGTGCACGCTCCCCACCAAACACCCCCATCGCTACCTTAGATATCAGCCACCGTCTGGTTATTAAAGCTCTACTTGGCAGTCTAGTTGATACTCTGGTTGACAATCTCGTTGACGGTCTAGTTGACGGCATACTTGACATCCTAGTTGACCGTGTAATTCGTAGCCAAATTTAACTGTAGCTGGCAGAAGGCTCAAGGGGCACACCTCAGTCGCTCTATTGTGAGCACAGTTGCTCTAGTGGACTCGCAGAAACGCGGTGGATCGTGAAGGATTCGCGTGCCCCTGCCTGCTGCCCCCATATCTAATGTTGTCCATCCAGAAAAGGGTCGCGGGCCACAGCCAAAGCGGGTGTGACGGCGCCGTTTTGAGATCCTTCCAGATAATCCTAGGGAACATTGGCTGGGCCTTGAGTTGGGTAGGTGTCCCTGCACTTGCGTTCCGTTCAAAGGTAATCTCCTCGGAAAACCCCCATTTCGGTTTCCTGCTGGGGATTGTCTGATACCCGCCCAGCTGTCCGCAGGTATCAGTTTCAAGCAAAATCATCCAAGTTCCAAGGAGAGGGGAACCCAAAGTGTTTCTGCGGAGAGTTTGTTTAACGTTCAGCCAAGCCTTGGGTTTTGAGAAATGAGATGCCGAGTTATCCGGATAGGGCAAGTCACTTACACATGTTCAGGGGCAGCCGAGGATGCTTCAACAACTCCCCTTTCAAGCATCAAGACCTGACCAACTCTTTGTCTCTCGGATTTTCCATCATCCTCCAAAAGATCACTCCTCCGAACAAGCAGCTTGCCATTGGAGAGAAGTTAACTGCCATCAGCGACTCCACATCCGGGCCGAACCGCTCACAGCAACACCACTCCCACTCCACCCTCATCCACCTCTGATGAACGCTTTTCCCTTGAGCTGGAAAACATCCAATCAGCGGGTTTAGCTCAGTTGGGAGAGCGTCAGACTGAAGTCAAACTTCGGGAAGTCAATCTGAAGGTCGTGTGTTCGATCCACACAAACCGCACTCCAAAGGAGAACCTATCCAGGTTCTTCGCTTTTTGGTGTTGGGTGAACATGATGACAGTTGGCCGCCCCTTTTTGGATTTCAGGGGAGGAGTCCGAAATGGTGTGTTGACCCTAACCCTTCCCTGAACCAAAGTGCCAGCAGTGTCCCGATGAGGGTAAAAGTCAAGCGTGAAAAAGTGTCAGTGTAACGTCGTCTTCCCACAAAAGAAAAGACCAGGATTGAAGAAGACAAACAACTATTGTAACAAAGGTTCTTAAAGTCTGGGCCACAAAAAGACAAGCTGGAGCTGAGAAAAAGGGGTAGAGCCCTCGAGACAGCCTCAAGGGCAAAACTTATCGATCAAGCTGGGACTCGAACCCAGAACCTTTACCAATCAGCGAGAGACCGGAAAGTAACGCGCTACCATTGCGCCACTCAACCAATGAATGAATGATAAATACAGGGAGCAGTTTGTGAGGTTATGACTCGTGTTGGAAATGCTTGTTGGATCCGGAGATTCCGGGAGAAATGCCGAGGCGGGGGACAAATAGTGTGGGGTACGGACACAGTGGGCGGTCCCACCCAATTTCTGGCCCCATTCTCCATTGGAAGAATCTCAGATTGCCCAAGACTGTCCGAATCTCTGGTGTTGGAGCAAGAAGAAGAGTAAGAGAGGGGAGATAAGAGCATTGACGAGTAAAAGGTGAAAGACAAAAAATGTTAGAGAACGGAGTGGCGCAGCCCACAAACCGCCAGACTTGACTGGCACAACTCTCTGTATCTTCGTCGGCATACTTAAGACGTCAGTGCTAAAGGCTAGAGCTCATGCTAGCCCTCGTCGACCTACCAACCCGCCTCACACCAGCCGCCTAGCCTGCTGACCCAGCTCTCGCCGCCCCAGCCTGGTTCTGCTGCCCGTTTCCTCTACAGCACTTCACCCACTACCACAACCCCTCTGGCTCGCCGCTCTTGGGCCGCGAGCGTTCCGTTTTCGTCGCGCGTCGTCATAGCTGCCGAGACCATTGAGCCTGTACACAGTAAGAAAGTCCTGAATGCAGGGTTAGGGTCGAGGCGGACCATGGGGGGATTGGATGCAAGGTGCTGCCTCACCAATCTCCCCTATCAGACCTCGAACATCCTCTGGAACATCAGCGTCCAACAAACATCCCCGATTCGACCTCTGAACCCGCTGACCACTCCCGGCCTTAATCTTCACGGGCAGTCAGCACGATTTCAGCTGGGAAATTGTAAGGAATTCGAAAGTTGAGTATCTGGATGGACACTGCAGGTAAAAGTGTCCACCACTGGCAGATTGTGCCCCCCAACACCACTGCCTTCATTGCCGCAATACGACCACCCCCTCTTCCGACCATCCTGCCTCCTGGCCTCAACCCACGAACCTCAACAATGGCCGACTTACGGAGTACCTCCCCTCCCAAACCACCCGCCTTGCTGCGTCAGCCCCGGCAGACGATGATCCCACAAGATGGGCATCACGCTGCCCACGCAAACTCCAAGGAACTGCTCAATGTGATGTGCTTTGGAAATTGATTGACTATGGCGTTGGTGTTGCATACAGCCAATCTTGGCTGTGGCTTATGGACATGGTGTTTTGATAGCTGTCTGTGTATCCGGGAAAAAGTCTGAACCCCCGAGAATTGGCCGCCCAGCACCTGAGTACAGACAGCATGCTGTTGAAGGCGACGCCTTCTTTCCTTCCTTCCTGCTTTCCTCTTGATTCTTCAATTCTTCAAAAACTTAGATATCACAAGACAAGAACAAGAAGCCACCAACTCCAAATATCACGCTCCCATCAAATTGTAACCTTCCCAACAAGCGGCAAATCTCGACTGCTCCCTCCAACTTCAATCTTGTACTCGCCCCTGACAAGCCTCCACTTCTGCCTCACCACATCCCAAACACTTAAATCCCTCCTCGTCAGTGCAAACCGCACCGTCGCCGAGCTCGAAACGTTAAGGAACGGCTTCTCAAACCCCCTGAGCTGTCTTACCGGCGCGCCCTCAGCCGGAATGCCCACATACAGCTGGGCAACCTCGGCACCATCCATCTCTCCCGTGTTGGCTATCTCAGCCGACACATCCACCAGCACATCCCACAGATCCTCCTGCCCGCCCTCAACAACCTCCCCAGATGGATACTCATCAAACTTATCATCCGCCGCCTTCTCCACAACCAGCTTGCTGTATCCGAACGAGGTATAACTCAACCCAAACCCAAACTCAAACCTCGGCGTGACATTCCTCGCATCAAAGTGCCGATAATCCACAAACACCCCCTCCTTAAAGTCACTCTGCGGAAACTTCTTGTACTTTCCCTCGGGCATATCTGGCCCCAGCACCGCATAATCCCGCTCCTCCTTTGCCACCGTATACGGCAACTTCCCCGACGGGCTCACCCTCCCATACAGTATTTCCACCAGTGCCTTCCCCGACGCCTCCCCCGGCAAATGCGCAAACAACACCGCGGTCACATTCGGATGATCCACAAACCCCTCCACCAACCTCGTGCCCGCATTATGCAGCACCACCACCGTATTCCCACACCTCTCCGCCACATGCCTGACCAACTCATCGGTATACTCATCGCTCAGCGCCGGTCTGTCCGCGCCCTCGGCAGCGTACGCGTTGCCAAACACCAGACACGCATCCGACATGGGATGGACTGGCGGTTCGGGGCTGTCAAAGTCCCAGAACAGCGCCGTGCCGTCCTCATACGCCTGCATCACCAGCGCATCAAACGGTGCGACCACCGTCGAGGGCGATGTCGCGCCGGATCCGCCGCCGGAATAAAGCGTGCCGTTAATAGCGATGGCCGTGCGTCCATGATCCTTGGACCAGCCGAAGAAGCCCGCGCCGAACTCGGTGTGGTTGAAGGAGGCCGAGCCCCACAGCCAGGGGGAGAAGGAGCCACCGGGGTTGTTGAATTTGGGGTTTGTGGCGGAGTAGCCAAAGAGGGAGAGTAGGGTGGGAGGGTCTTGAGGGAGGGCGGCTCCGGTATTTTGACGAGACATGACCCTCGATAGCGCCGTCGAGGAGAATAGAGCGCGAGGAGGCGTTGCGCGCGTCGATTATGGGATGGGGTTTGGTGAGGTCTGCGGGCATACCGATGCCGGGACGGGGGAAGAGAACGTCTTGAGAGAATTTGTACCAGGTGGCGATGGTTCTGGTGCGGGTGAGTGGGAGGTGGAGAGGGTGTGAGGGGGAGGGAGTTACCTGGTCACCATGTCGTCTAGCCGGGTTTCAGGGACTGAGCCATTTCGGACAGCGTCCAGGAGATGTTCGCCCCAGAACTGAGTGCCTCCGGGCATGACGACGTCCATGCCTGCCAGAGCCGTGGCAACCCCAGCGTGTTGAGCATTCCAATCACTGACAACCCAGCCCTGGAATCCCAGCTCCGTCTTGAGTAAGCCGTTCAGTGACTTGCTGTTGGCGCAGCCGTATGAGTTGTTGAGGCGTTGGTACGAGCACATGATATTGCCACTGCCGGCGTGGACAGCGTCTTGAAAGGGCCTGCAGTGTGTCAAAACGAGAATGGAAAGGGGGAAGGGCCTGAGTAGAACTCACCACAGGTAGAATTCGTGCATGGTTCTGTCATCAATGTTGGATGAGACGGATTCAACTCCGTCGGAGGGATTCCGGTTGGTTTCCTGCTCGTTGGCGATGTAGTGCTGCAAGAGTCAGCAAGATTCTGGTGTTGGTCGGCTAAACACACCTTGGTGCTTGTGACAACTCCAGCAGCCTGAATCGCTGTCACCGTTTCGTGGACCAGAGCGCCTGACAGGTAGGGGTCACTCGAGAAGCCTGTTTCTGTCAGCTACTTTCCATCAGACAATTCAACGTGTGATCTTACCTTCCCAATTCCTACCACCCAACACAACCCGCCCAGCGGGCCCAACAACCGGCCCAAGAATCACGTTCACGCCCTTGGTTTTGAACTCACCGCCCATACCCGTTCCCCGCTGGCGAGCAAGCGCCTTATTCCAGCTGGCACCGACATGAATCCCACTCGGCCATGTGCTCACAAAATCTGTTCCGCGGAGCCCGTTGCCCGCATCGCCGAGACACATGCCGGGAAAGTCGAGGCGTGGGATAGCTGGCAGAAAGCCAGAGCAGCTAGTGTTTGACTGGGCACCGGCAGTCAGACTGACCTGTCTTCTGTCAGACCCTCCATAGACCCCAACTGCCAAAGGTGACCTACCTTCTCCTCCAAAGTCATCTTCCCCACCAATCCCCTCGCCTTTTCAACCGACTCTTTCCAACCTCCCAACCGTTTCACATCCGCTACACAACCCCATCAGCTTGCTTATCCTCTCCTCCTACCCACCGCCAAGCCTTGCTATTCAAGAAGGAGAACTCACGCGAGGGATAAACCGGCCCCGACATCCCATAAAACACCGTATCATCTGTAATCACCTCCCCTTCTCCCCGCCCCCACCATCCTGTCCATCAGAGCTACCTCCCTTGTTCTTGGGGAGTGCGGCAAGCCCCGCCAGGCCGCCGCCTATTACCAACAGGACGACGGCGACGAGGATGGCAATGCCGCGCTTTGTACGGAGGAAGTGAAAGCGCGAGGCGGGCTTTGATTGTCAACTTGGATTGGCGTCGGCGGCGGTAGGTGTGGATGTGGGGTTTGCGAGGGGGGCCTTTTCGGCGGAGTTGATCGCCATTGTTGGGGTGGATGTTATGTCTCCGTATGAGTGGTGTTTGACCCGGGGTTGGTATGGGGCTGCGCTGGGTCCTGGCGAGGTGGTGTTTGTTGACTGGCGCTCAGGGGTTGAAGGTCAAGATGAGGCTGGGATCTCTTCTCGAAATACAAGTGAGTGTGCCAAATCGTCAAGATCAAAAAAAAGTTTTAGCACTCATTCTCAACACACTGGTTGGTAATTGTCTCAGTTGACCCAGGTTGGTTGCATCGACTGATACCATGCTTTGTTTACTTCGGGTCGCTTACTGTGCGCATCAAAACTGTGTAATGAGTGTCGCGGCACTGTGCGATGAGTGTCAACTCAAAAAGCACTAGTTATCTCGGCTTGAGGTTGATAAATAATCAAGAAAACAGAAGGATAAAATAAAACAAAAAAGAGGGGAAAGAAGAGTTCAAAAGATAAAACAAAAGGAAAGACAGAGAGAAAAGGAAGAAAGGGGGAGAAAAAAAAGAGAGGCAAGAAAGAAGGAAGGAGAAGGAAAGAAGGAAGCGAGGAGAAAAAGAATAAATGAATGAAGAAGAAGAAGAAGAAGAAGAAGAAGAAGAAGAAGAAGAAGAAGATAGTTAAACAAAGAAGGAAAGAAAAAGAGGAAAGGAGAGAAAGAAGGGACTGAGGAAAGACAGGCAAAAGGTCTGAGGGAAAGGCAAGATAGAAAGACATGAGCAGCAATGCAACGAATCCGGGACAACAGCGCAAAAAAGAGGCCTATCCCTTT